CTTGCATCTAAGAACATTACGTTTGTCCAGAGAAGGGGTGCCCTTTGCCTAAGGAAAGAGTACCCCCAAAATAATCTGATTCACTGCGTTGCTTGAGTGATGCACGAAGATTTCAATTGCAAGGCCGGAAGGAGCCGTACCAAGACTCGAGATTGGGAGTCGCACTAACACCTCCGCTTCGTACATGCCATGATGTACGATGTTCCCTATGCATAGTATATCAGAATGAGAAAGTTTCCTTCAGTTTTCAGGTCGGAAGTTCGAACGTTATTGGCAATTCAATGATTGTCGAAAGGGATTTTTGCCCGGCCGCACCGTTTCAAACTCTGGAGGCTGTGAGATTGATCAAGAGCGTTCTGGAACCTACAGGTGATTGGGTGTACTGAGCGTGGCTTCTCTTTAATCAAAGTGGTTCAGGTACACTGGTGCTTTACGTGGATCACATAACAGATGCAGACAAATACAGGTGGAAAGCGGTGTGCGTGGCTATGTTTTGCTGTACGTAGGCTTATGCTAGTGGGAAACGAAATCGGGTATAAAGCACAAAAAGGGAAGACGCCGTAAGGCAGCGCGAACTGTCACGCGCGCAGGCACTGCCAGATACCGTACCTGTGAACTGAAGCGCAGCAAGCGCACTCAAAAATGTCGTTGCTTTGATGATTAACCATGAAGTGCTCGCTTGCTATGATGTTATTGTGCTCGCTTTTTATTATAGCACATTATTATAGAAGTTAATTTAGTGGACCCTCACCAGATGGGTTCAGACCCGTTTTGGATTTCGTTTCAGGAAGCATTCGTTGGAGTTCGAAAACTTTCATTTGTAGATGTTTCTTGAATGTGAGATTGTTCTATTACATGTTTATGTTATGTTTCCCGTCCCAACTTCTTTGTTGGTCTTACGGAATACCCATACTCACTAATATGGTACCAGAATGAGAAGCGAGCACTATCACATCATAATATCAAGGGAGCACAACATGGTGAATCATCGAACAAGCGGCATTGTGAGCCATCGCACACTTGCGCTCCATTACAAGCATACAATACTTGCACGTCGGTGCACGCGACGTCGCGTGGCCCTACCGACACATATGCCACTGTGAGTGCTGACAGCGGAAGCCAAAAACTAAGTCACGGTAAAAGATTCCGCAAATGTTGAGTTTGTGGCGCGGAATGGCGACCGCCAGCGAATGGGCGTGCAACTGGTAGCATCACTAGAGACTTCACATAACTGTCATATGTATTTTGTTCAGACAATTTTGGAACAATTTTGGAGAGTGTTGCGAGACTTTCTTCCAGCCTAATAATTTTGGCCGACTGCCGAATCACTATACTGCGCACTGCATTCATGCGCAAGGGAAGCGGCCTAGATTTCATGCGATTGCGCCATAATAAAATATCTGTCCGGTCCGGTTCCAAATAAAGTATGTAGCCACACCCTCTCCAGACACACAAGAGATACGAACACACAAATCCCCTTCATACAACGTTTGAGAACGACGAGCTGTAAGTGAGGATTCACTCAGTATGAGCTCTCACATTGATACTTCCTCGAATCACATTGGTGTTCAAGAGTGATTCGGCCTCTCTGCGGCGACGGAACAAGCTCACCACGTGTACTCTGCGCTAACATAGCCCCGTTAGAGCCCGACTAGGTATTAAAAAAATTGTTCAACACAACTTCTCTGCCAAATATGTGGCCATATTCAAGAATTTCCATGATACTACAGAACAAGGTCTGTTCCGACGTTGGCATGATGGACTTTGATTCTAAGGGATCGGTAAGCTGCGTTTTGACGAAACCAATCCATTGCTGTTGTTGTCGAATTTTGCAGTTCCTCATCCGACAAAAATGCTGGACAACTTGTGGCGCTAAGATATTAGGTTGTTCGGAAAGGAATGCGCGTTGACTTTGTCTACTTATTTTTCTTCTACTATGGAGAATTTTTCAAAACAGTTTTGTCCATTAGAGAGAGGTTTTTATTGCGCGCATCTTTTGATATATTTTTTCTATGTCTACCTTGTTTTTTTAGAGAAAAAAGTTTAGAAAATGCTCGACCAAAAATTTCGAATGCGAGCTTGTATGTGGTAAGACTTCAAGCAAGTCCTAACGACGCACTTGGGTGGACCTAATGACCCACTCGGCTCACTGGGGCAGCGGGCGGACCTAGCGACACACTCGGCGAGAAAACTGGCAAAAGGGGCTCTTTTGGCCTAGATTTCCTCTCCGGCGGACCTAACGACACACCCGAGGAGAAAAGTAGCGAAAGAGGCTCTTTTGGCGAAGTTGTCGAAAAGAGCCACTTCTAACAGAGATTTTAAGATTCATCAATTGAACCGCGTGGATGAAGCACTGCGTCGTCAAGGTGTCGAAACGACGTCGACAAGATTCCTCTACGACAACGCTCGTCCACATATCGCGAAAATCACTTTGGAAAAAATTGAGGCATTGGGCTGGGAAGTACTGCCTCATCTGCCATACAGCCCAGACCTGGTACCATCCGATTACCATCTGTTCCGGTCGATGCAGCACTCCCTGGCCGAGAGAAAGTTCGAAAACCGCGAAGAAGTCCAACTCTAGGTGTCCAACTACTTTGAGTCGCAGCTGGCCGAGTTCTTCAAAAGAGAAATCCATTCTTTGCGTACACGTTGGCAACAAGGCATTGCTAGTAATGGAGATTATCTTTAAATTGACCTTGTTTAACTTCGTTTTTATAAACAAAAATTTCTTTAGCACTCAAACGGGCGCGATTCCTTTCACAACGACTAATAGTACGGGTACCTAATCGACCACGTTACCTGTTCAGAAATTGATGACGATCATTTACATCACATAACTCGTTGTCGGCGCGTCTTGGTCCGTCACCGAAAATGACGCTTGCAGAGTTTTCTCGTCATTACTTTGCTAAAGGTAGTGGGCACGATATGGTTCTCTGCAGAAAACGGGAGCAGATCTACTTGATAGTAAAGCAAAAGCAAGACGAAACGTCAGAAAATGTCTGGATAGAGCCATTATTGAGCGCTCTAACGAGGAAGTGAATGTACCAGTCTAAGGGCGAGAGAAATCGGGAGACGGTAAAGAGGATCGTAATTCGCCGCACCGCCACGCGCGGCGATGGGCGCGGCGTTTTCATAACTCGTTTTAACCTGTCGAATGGAGCACCGGACTTCATGTAGACCCCGCCATCGTAGACACTCATTACTGTTTTCGGTCCTTAATTGCATGTTGTCGCCATCTACTGCCTGAAACCATCGTCCTTTGCGGGCGAGACGTCGCACGCGACGCCCAGCAGCGCGGCAAATTACGATCCTCTTGTCACATACCCATGAAAACACATTATTGTGAGCTGTTACAAACTTCACTACGTGAGCAACAGGGGTACTCAAAAGAAACAGAGCTTACTAATGGCATTTTCTTCACGACCGAGGCTGTCGAAGATTCGCGGGAATCAAGTGAAAATGCCCAAAAACTAAAGCCAAGCTAAAAAAGTGAAAGAAGTATAAAACCACAAATGGGCACTGCTCGCAAGAAAACCTCAAATTCTGCCAAAAATGGATATTTTCCCTACCATTGAGAACCACTCCTGAGGAAGAGTATTGAATAGGAGTAAAAAGTCATTAAGCCGAAAATTGTGGATGAAAATAGCTGATCCGATTGATCAATCGCCATTCGGGGGAGCGTTGCTGTTAGTGGAAGTACAGGTGTGTGGGTTGTGCTCACTAATCGCTCAACCCTTGAGGACCGCCTTTCGCTGGAAGAGACATCATGTAAGTTGCTCGGAGGCGCGGTCTCCTTTAGTGATCGGCGTATTCATTCTTACGATGTTGCGAGGGAAATCATGCGTCTCGCCTTTGAAGCAATGCCCGCGGTCAAGTATTACGGGTGAGGCTTTCAATTATGAAGCACAGTTTTTAATTGTTTCCCTGAGAAGAAACAAAGCAAAAAACTCCAAAAACACCAAAAACGAAATCGCTTTCTGACAGTCACACAGCCTCATTGTACGAGTTCTCCGGATGGCAACTCGATGCCCTGCGGTCTCTATGCAACCTGGCGCAGAAATCGCTTTTTCGCATCTTCCTGTGCTCAAGGTCATCCAGTGCAAGTAAAGAAAACGAAAACACTGAAGTAAAACTCGTAATAGAAAGTAATACTGAAGACTGCGTAAGAAATTAGGATTACGGTGAGCAATGCACTTTGAACTCCCGCATCAACCACTTGCATCAGTGGTGATTTGAACAAGTCTCACCTTCCGAGACGGGTTGCTATTCGCTGTATGTGCTCCTAATGAAGAGAAAGTAGTCAAGTGAAGCAGCATTACCTTTGGGCGCCGACGCTGTCGGCCAATTGACACAGAAAATTGACACACATTTTCGGTTCATGTCCGACGCTCCAACATGCAACAACTGCGCGAACCTGTGTTAGGTGTGAAAGGACACACGGTTTGTTGGGTGGGGTCCAACTGAGCGGGTGCCAGAAAGAATGTTCGACGGCTGTAGCGCTCTCATCAGTTGTTGAGTCGCGAAAGCGGGACAGCCTCTGAGTCCGCGAAGTGAAGTACTTTTGCATGGGAGGACGACCACGAATTGCTTGAGCGTGGCACCTGTCTCTGAGTAAGGTAAATTAAACGTCATCTCTCAACAAGTAACAAGCAGCTATCGTACACATGCGTCACGGCCGCTACTCCGTACTAACTCTATAGCCTTATCAGAACATTGTAAAGTAGCCAGTTTAGAGTGCTGGCCTGCTAATCTGTGCGCCGTTTCGGATGAAGGATCTAGGCGAAACTCCAAGCCTTGCACAACGGACGCTTGACGATAATCTCGCAAACATAGTGAGGAAACTCAAGCTCAATTCGTTGCATAGAGCCTCTATCAAATTATTGGATGCGAGCTGATAGATCCATACTATACGAGAATACCGAATAAAATTTATCTATTTGGTAATTCAATACACTGTTGCTATTACACTCGTTGGTTACACGTTACTACTAAAAAATACGCATGTACGCAGCAAAAAGTTAGAGGTTCCATAAAAATTGGCACGAAAGTGGGTCCTCCGACCAAATGTTTAGCTTGCATATCTGCGAAGCAGTGGTCATACTTCTACAGCAGTGCTTGACGTACCCTCCCTCGGTTGACGGTCTTATTTTTGTTTCCACAGGAACCAACAATGTTTTCCATCCATTCAAGACCTATCGCGGTTAGCCAAATTATCTGGGAACATAACAGCACTAGGTTATACCTACCTACTTCCAAGAAGTCTATCAGACATCACTCATTTCACCCCGTTTTCGAGTATTTGAGGCGTTAACATTGCCTCAGTCTACGTTGTTGTTACTGTAGTGTTTACTCTCCACATTTGCAGTTTCTATCGCGACTTTAGTTACAGTTGTTAGTCATTAGTTTCGCTTGGCTCGTTGTCGTTTAATGTGCAGGGCGCTTTTCTATAACGTCTAACATAGCGACTATAAACAACGTCTCTTTCCTCATGATCGATGAAGTTGACTCCGAGAGATT